CTATTTTGCAAGAATACGTGTTAGACAAGTTGCAGCGGAAGCTTCATTTGAGTAAAACGAAGATGAATAAATTTGCTGAATCGGGACAACTATTCGTTTTTACTCTCTACTCCGTTATGCACAGTGGTAAGGTACTTTTTCTGGACGTTTCATATTTTAGAATAACGATCTTAACATGATCTTTTTTTAAGACTTCCATTTTCCTTCGGACATGCGTTTCGAACATGGTTATACTCCCACGTGATATAATTTACAGGCTACATAATGCACGATCTGCGACTGCATCTTGACCTTACTAAATTGTGGATTGGATATCCTGAAGTTCACCGTCATATGACACTGCATTTAAAACTCTTTTTTATTTTCCAGGCATGATTTTTTTACGCATTGATTTTATGTTTACGGCTATTTGTTTGCAAAATTTGCCTGTTTTATCAAGTTTTTAATATTTAAATATTGAAAATGCAGAAGATATTTTACAGATTGCTTACTGGTTGCATCAGTTCCCGGAGTTCTATTTCCAAAAAGTGCGTAAAGATGAAATACAGCCGCGAACCCTATACTCGATTATTTTTCTTTTCTTCACCATTGCAGCATATTCTTTAAAGTAAATATTTTGCTTTTTTCCAGTTATATATATATATATTTGTCTCCGGTAGCTTTTATAGGCTGAAATTTTCATTTAAGTGTGCCGTGTTTTCAGCCTGACAAAACTCATAGATTTCAATGATAAGTGGTGCATAGGATACCCTATAAAAACTGGATTTTTCGGTATTCATCGGTAATTGTAGTTTTGTGGGAATAACTGCCTTACTTCTTCATCGTTCCAGGTTTAAATCGCACCAAAATGTGTTTATACTATTTATTCTCAAATACATTGTTTAATATTTAGAACAATTTCCTTTGTAGCTTCAATCGACTTACTCTGGCCCTCCTTTTTATGGAGTATGTTTCACAGAATGTTTTCCATCTTACACGCCTATTTCACTTTGCTGAAAAATGGAACATTGCGAAGACTGGGTTCGTACGATTTTTTTGTCATAAAAGTGTGCTTAAGATGGTTATTATATTTATTACTTTAAGTTCTATTTCTTTGAAAAATAATGCTGTAGTTGAAGTATGATTATGTTTTATTTCTCTTTTTCCCTTTTATACCAAAAAGCGGTGGGAATAAACGGTCTTCGGAATATTAATATATTCTTAACAATGAAAATTTAGTTTCAAAATTTGGAATATTGTATTCGTGCTAGTACGATTGGCAAGTGCAGTGTTAGCTGTACTTACATTATGGTATGGGCTTCGTTCTAATGAAACTCCCTATATAGATTCGGTGAACGGAAATTTCAACACCGCGTTCATTCGGTAAGTTCTTTTACTGAGTTTGCAGTTTCAGTCGATAACTTTGTATGAGTTCCCGTCGATAACGTATGTTAGTTTTTCGTTGTTTTATTAGCATTCGTAAACGATCTTTTAACGACTTTATCATGAATATTATTGTTGCAGACTGAATAGCTTGCTATGCGTTCTGGCATTACAGTTATATATGCTATGGAACTTTGTTTTATTCCATGTACGCCGTTACCGAGAGAAACATAGCAAGATAAAGATTGACAAGCAACCTAAAATTCAGCAGAGGAGAAGGAAGCATGTCAACGATGATGTTAGTTTATTTATTCATCTAAATGTGTTGTCACAAATTTTGGCTTGTAGATCTTATTGTGAGAAGGTTGTTTGTCCTAGAATTTGTTAGCAATTTCGAGATGATATTGGTGTGACAGTTGCAATTTGATCTTAAGTACTTTTGCCTCAGCAGACTGCGAGAATGTGTGGTGGAGGATTAAAATACCAACCGGCGAATCATCGCTCTGATTATTTGAATACTTTAGACCATCTCTCTAAATGTTTGCGTAGATCTACCGGACAGCTAGGAATTAGATTTTGTGCTGACGTTGAGCTGACGTTAAGAGATATTTAATGCTTTGGTTACTAATAAACATATTGCCAATAACCCAGTAGTTAAGATTGCAGGTGCGCGATCTTCCAGAAGCTGACCAACATTCTCGCAAGAAGTCCAATTAAATTATTCAGGTATGACCAAATGAAGTAGTAAAAGCATATGTCGTACTTGAATGGGATGAGAGTTCTTCATACAATTTTCCCATTTAATGATACATTTGAATTAAGCATGTGTTTTGGTCTCCGAATATTTTTAGTTGTGTTTGAAAGCATAAAAACACTAAGTTATGGTAGCACCTTTTCGATTATCTACATTTCGTTAATCATTTTTTGAAAGAAGGATTTAAGTTAGAGAAAAGCGGGTGGAAAAGTATTCGTTTCAGATATAACGGCTGACATTTTTGTTGCTTCCTTTGGGTAGTTGTTGTTTCTTGAATCTATTATTTGTCCTTTATTTCAAACTCCTTACCTGATCCCTATTTAAATTTTTCGACCATGTTACTGCAGTTTGGTGTTTATGAATTTGTCGAACTTCTTGGTCTCTTGAAGCTTCATTACACTTTGAAATCTAGGACCAAGGTCTATATCTAATTCTTGTTTTAACAGTTGTAAGTGTAAGCTTACTTCAGGTGACATTGAGTATGAAAGTAACATTACATTGAAATTATTTTTCAAGTTGTTATATGTTGCACTTTGTTTCCAATTGTATTTCACTGCTAGTTGTTGGATTTCTTCTCTTTAATTCACATTTTAATCTTTGCCTTATGTTTTATTTTAAACATAACGTCACCTTTTCTTTACTTTATAGACTATCTTGTCTTAACTTATAAATTTGTACGAAAGTTGTCAGTCAGTTGTATTGTAGTAAATTATTGGTAAATTTCTTTTGTATTTGAATAGAATATGGTAGAAATTACATAGCAAGACGAGCTGAGTGATTGGCTTCTCGCAAAAGTACGTTAATCACTACAAACAAGATTCTTTTTAGTGTGTTGCATTTATAAGCAAAGAACACTGTCAAATAATTTTTCAATGTGTTATTTTACAGACGAGAATTATTATAAAGGTTTAGTCTGTGTGAAAGATTGGTAAAAACCTTTTTTTGGATGATAGTTTTTTTCGGATGATATAATGAATAATATAATTATATTGATGCAAAGACAGCTATGTAGTCAAAAAAAAAGAGAGCTTGTGTAAGGGAAGAGTCCTTGCATGCAAGATTAGTTATCAGAATGAAAACATTCGCATGTCATTTGGTTTCGCGTGTCAAAGTGGTCAATTGGTATCTTAACCGTTGAAAATAAACTTGGTCGGAAACAAAGATGGAAATTAGACAAATGGTTCATTATATTAGATTAACATTTATTTATATATTCATTTTATGTAATGAATCACTTCAGTGAGAAATGTCGCAAGACTCGAAAAAGTCTCGCAAATTGCAAATAACTTAGAAAACATATCAAATAAAATTGTATTGAATTCACAGAACTAAGAATTGTCTTATTTCACCCGTCAAACAATCGTTCCAAATTCATATTTCACGTAAGAAACTATTTTTTATTCATCTTCCAAATAGATTGTTTACACGGTATCAACACCTTATTTATATTTGAATCTACAAGATTAACTTGCTTAATTGACCTCCTTTATGGTTTGTTAACTAGTAATTAGATTTAATTTTAAACCAGGTCAGCAGCTCTTTATTAGTCACTCATGTCCAACACTTCAGTTTTGCCAAAAACCTGAAGAGTTCAACTAAGAGGCAATTCAATCTCAAAAAAGGATTTCCATTACTTGACGTTAACTCTTCTTTATAAGATTTATTGTACTGTTGCTTCTGTTGGTAAAGGAATTATTGTATTCCTGTGTTAACATCTACATTCAAGGAATCTTCCTGAGATCAGTAAACTTCTCCCAAAGTAATAAATTCAACTACAAAAAATTCCTATTATGCAAATGCTTTTGTTATTCAGACGTATTTATATTACAAATTATTTCGGTTTTTTGGATCGAGTGAAGAAAAAAAAAAAAGAAAAAAACCAGGATGGCTATGATAACCAAGAGTGAGTGACACATTTCGAAATATTTCCGCGATGATTAGATTGCCTCGCAAATGTGTAAATTAAAACTGTGTTCCTGGATTGTGAAGAATCTTTATGCATTTTAGAAGGAAATGATCTCTAAATTGCGATGGCAGAAATGACTTAAAGTAATCCCATTAAACGTTATTTGCACTCGTCTTTATGGTTTTGTGAAGGACATGACAGGTCCTTAAACATATTCAATCATATTCTACAAGATATCTTAATGTGGCTGAGAAACAAATGATCTTTAATTATTAAGAATGGTTTCAGTCTGTGATCACTTTGTTATCTTATTCCTGAAAAGTCTGCACTCTATATTGTTCAACCAAAACTACATTATTTCCATCCAACGCGTTTAGTTAAAATATTAAAACATTAACAATACATAGATGATATATGCGTCATACAAATTCATTTCACAGATAAAGTGGGCACTATATGTAAAACTGTTTTTGTCTACGTCAGTACTCGGGAAACTTTTACTTAAAATCGAAATGGGGGGATAACTGCAATAAATTAGACGAACTGATAAGATTAACGGAGAATGCTAATAGCCGACTGTCCTATTTCCTGACAAAGATGACATTCCCTTTATGTATATATAAGCAGCAAATTCACTTTATATATATATATAAGCCTTTTGCACTGTCTTTTTATAATTACACTCACATACGTACACTCACGTAAGCATATGACTTCCTGTCCGTTTCAAGAAGAATCAGAAATTAGAGAAATGGGTACTAACAGAGTAGGGATAGAAATGATACAATGAATTCATCTATTTGCTACCTATAGAGACCGAAAGACACAGTTCGGAATTCAACAACCGATTGCAGGGTTGTTGTAGCCGCATTTTTCCGCGCACCTGTATTTGTGTTGTTACACGTCACTACTCGTATTTCATCCTTAGGCAGTCAGTTGAGGTAATTATTTTTCAGGCTTTCTAAAAACTAGTGGAGAATGCGCTGGTATCATTCCTTGGCTCTTCCGTTGTCGATCACGGGCCTTGCATTAGGACTCAGTAGCGATCGTCAGTCATGCAGCACATCAGGGTATTTTGAACAGAAGGAGAAAGCGTCTAACATCGTAAAACAGTTCATGGTATTCCTCTTTGACACTAGTGAAAATAATTAACAGTAAGGAAGTTACCAATGGACGGTCTGAACATGGACCAGTATTGATTTTTCTATATGTTTGCCTTCGTAGGTCCCATGTAACACATGAAAATCCTTTAATCAAAAAGTAATACAACTGTGATATATCAAGTCAGCACTGGTTGGGCTAGTCGTTTTCATAAAAAGTGGATAGGTAAATTTATAGAATACTCTTGTCGGTGCTCTTCATTACTAAAATATGTAAAATGATGGTCACTTTTTAAAATTTGTTATGGTGCAGGTGAGAAATGGAGTCCCAGGGCTATCTGTAGGTGTTTCACGTAATGGTCGATGTGTTTGGGGACAAGGGTTCGGTTACGCAGACGTGGAACAGCTGGTACCGTGCAAAAGCGATACAGTGATGAGAATTGCCAGTATAAGTAAACCAGTAACAGCTGCTCTTGCCGCACGCTTGGTCCAGGACGGAAAACTTCATTTGGATGCGCCTGTTCAGGTTTCAATATTATGGGGACAAATTTTCTTAATATTAAGATGATGGAAAAGTAAGTTATCGGTGTTGAAAGAATTCATCAGTACTGATTACTGAAACTATTCGGAGCTGATTTTCAGAAACCATATATAAAATGTAAGGAATAAATTGCAGGACTATGTGCCGGATTTCCCAAAAAAGAAATATAACGAGAAAGACGTTACTATAACAATCCGTCAGCTTTTGAGCCACACAAGCGGCATTAGGCATTACAAAATGGTTACCTTTTCATGTTATGCTCACTTCTCTCACTTTGCCAAAACGTTGGTTGTGTTTCGGCTTAGCATATCTCGGTAATACAGTATAATGAATTGAAACACCAAGTGTATGCTGCAGCAAAACTGTAAGGATGCATGCTGATTGATCCAGTTTTAAATATGATCAGTTGCTTTTTGGACTGTCGTAAATTCAAAGGCAGATCTCTTTTTTTAGTTAAATAAAGAACAGCAGTACGACGCAAATTTTGAGGTATTACATTTGTTTCTATACATGCAAATAAATTAGAAGTTCAGATAAAAATGTGTCTAGTCTTCTGTGGGGTAGAGATAAGAAATGTAGCCTTCTCACAGAGAATATACTTGGAATCTTTTGAGTTTTATTTTACATACGATATGAACAAAGCACATACTACTACCACCGGGCATGCAAGGATACATATTTTATATCAGCAACATTCAAGAAGCAAGAAAAAATGAATATACTCTGTTTATATAACTGCCCAATATCAGTCAGCCATTCGATTTTTCCTGCTTTTTCTTATAGTCTTTTAGAGCTGCCTGGATTGCATCCTCAGCTAGCACTGCAGAAAATGCAATAATTTAAAATGAGCAATTGTGAAGAGGCAGTATGCAAAATTGTTAAGGAAGGAAATGCCAAAAATTTTTAACTTACTGGAACAATGAAGTTTGACTGGAGGTAGGCAAAGCTCTTTTGCAATCTCGTCATTCTTAACCTTGGCAGCATATTCTGTTGTCTTGCCTTTAATCCACTCGGAAGCCAGACTACTTGATGCAATTGCTGACCCACAACCAAATGTTTTAAATTTTGCATCAATTATCTTGCCATTTTCGTCGACCTAACTTTAGAATGATAAGTACTGCTGCAAATTTCTGATTTCCATAAATGCATGTGAGTTCTACTAAGTATCTACTGCCATATTGGGTGCGAAAGAGGTGTCTTCAAACAAATACCACAACGTAATGAAATAGGCAGTACTATCAAAATATTATCACTGAGTGAACTTACAGTCTTTATTCTATTTATCGTTGCAAATCCAAAGTATCCTGTAAAAGGATTTACCTTGATTTGAAGTTTCATAACATCGCCACAGGCCGGTGACCCAACGATGCCCGTACCAACGTTCGGATCATTCTTATCGAGTGTCCCAACATTCCGTGGATGTTCGTAGTGGTCAATAACTTTTTTGTGATAACATGCGTTTATAACTCTTGTGCTGACAGTAGAAGAGAGAAATGAGGGCAACTTTGTCGACGACAGAGCCATGTATCGTCTAAAATTAAGTTGTTCGAAACTTTCAGTAACCCAACTTCAAGCTCCTAATACTCACAACCTTCCCACACCTTCCTCAGCCCACTCCGTCGAGATCGCACTAAACCGAAACCCAATAATCAAAACGATCGTAGAACTAGCTTCTTTCGAATCTTACCATACGTGTGGTCGGGTGTGAAATATACCTATCGCCATGTGAAAACTTTTTTGACTCATGGCGATCAGTTTCTCAAATTTTTTCAGTCTTATCGTTTATATTACATCGTTTATATTACAGCCAGTTGAGCCGACCGTAGAAGACTTTGTGAGAGAGCTGAGGAAAGCGGTTGAAACAGGAATTGATGGTAATGTGAAGAATTTATTACATAAAATAGACCTTAAATATAAGGTATGCGTTTGTTCCTTCTCTTGAGCATTACCAAACTTATAAAACCAAATTTCTGGGTTTAGTGAGTCAGTCACTTTTCTCACCTAAACTTTTCTGGACAGTAGATGAGTCAAAGGGAATGACTTTGCTTGGTTGGCATTATGAGATGAACGTCGCTAATTTGCAGTCATGTTATGTTTCATTTCTGGCCCATTCCTTCTAAATTCGATGTCCTTAAATATTGTACACTTTCGAAATGGTTCTGCTGCTAGTCATCTTACTGTTATTTTTGAGTCATTCTACCTGTTTTATTTTATATCCTATTATAGAAAAAAAAAATTTTTTTTTTTTTGTTTTATATCCTACTATAGAAATAAGAAAATTTCTTCAATCTAATCTTCCAGGAGAAATACAGTAAAAGTAATCTAACGCGACATCGAAGTATTGAGGTCAAAGACAAATCTGAGTTCTTTTCCAATATTCATTACGAGTGTGTGAAAGATGCACTGGAAATCTTCAAACATGATGAATTAGTAGCAGAACCAGGAAGTAAATTCCAGTATACAACCCACGGATTTACTTTACTCAGTGCAGCACTAGAGAAAGCAGCCAGTGAAAGATATGTAGATCAAATAACAAATTTGTTCCGTGAATTAGGAATGAATCATTCATATCTCGATCTTAACTGTCCCCTTATCACCAATAGAGCCAGGTATTTTGTGCTTTTTCAAATTGATTTGTGTTGCATTGGTTTCGGTTCATTAGCAGCTTGATTATTTGAATTAAGAAATATAAATATTTGACATTTCGGAATATATGGAAACATCATTGAATTAATCAGCAGGTAAGTTAGAATGATGAGATGAATGGAAACCCCATCTCAGGAGTGCTTGTAGTTTCTATTTAATTAAGTTTCTACATAGCTGAATAATTGGAAATACCTTGTGTAAATTGTTTGTTTTAGATATTACTATCGCGATCAAGATCATAAATTAAAGAATGTTCCAGAAGTAGACAATTCAGGCAAATGGGCAGGTGGTGGATTATTGTCGACTGTCACTGATTTACTTATTTTCGCTAATGCAATGCTTTATAGGTATTTTAAGTTCAGTATTGGTAAATTTATAATCCACAGATAAATTGAAAATAGCATATCAAATTCTTTTTCGCAGATTTCATAGAAAAATTAGTTTACTTTGAGAAATATTTGATATACCGATTTCAGTTATCATGCAGCGCAGCATTCATTTGTCGAGAATAATGGAATAAAGCCTTTGCTCGATGCCGAAACCATGAAAATGTTTTGGAAGGGTGAAATTTCGGATCATCGAGGGAATGTTTACGCTCTTGGGTGGTACAAAATCGATGGAGATGATCAAAAGTATGGAGGTTTAAGTGATACCTGGCCACGAAAAGGAGTTTTTTTGCATACTGGTGCTGCTGTGGGTGCGTCATCTGTTCTGCTTATCAAACCAGATCATAATTTCGTCGGCACTGATGGAACTTGCGTTGCTATTCTTACAAACCTTCATGAATGCGGTGAGCTTACGCAGTTAGCTATGGAAATTGTTGAAATTTTTGGTTGTGTTACTTCCATCGAAACCTCATAGATATCTTTTTATTATCCATTATATTTATGAAAGGATTCTTTTGCTGTCGTTCGCATTATCCTCTTGAAAATTATTAAGTTGTCAAGTATTCAGGCTATAAAAGTTGTTCGGTGTTTGAGTTACAGTCTAGTCTGATCTATAAGTAGTGAATATACATTTCGCTATATATGCTGTATAAAATAATTTTTTATTTACGAATGTCAAGTAAAATATTATTTTTTCTACCCAAGATCTATCATTAAAGTTATGAAAGAGAGTTAGTGACAGTTAGTAAAGTATGACAACATAGTGGAGTGAAGTTACTATTTTGTTTGATTGCCTCAGAAAGATTGATTTGATGGTGTGGAGTATTATTATCAGTTGTGATTTTCTGGTGAGATAATTTCTACAAATATGCGACTATTGTCTAATTATTCATTTAGCTTGATATGAAGCTAAGTCTACTTTGCTAGAAGAAAGTGTCAAACTTTCTATATGGAAATACAATAGGAACCTCAAGATTTCTTCATTACCGAATTGAAGGATCCAGCGGTCGTATTTTTGAAAATTTTTGCTTTGATATGCACAAATGACAGGTGTACCTATTAGCAGCCTTGTATATCCACTGAATGTTGTGTGGAAAAAATTCCCAGATCATAACGAGCAATAACCGAACTTTTCATCGAAAAAAGCAAGCCTGTTGAGAAGTCTTTCGTCCCATTTAAAAGAAATGTCTAACCATAGCAAAAATATACGGAATCTAATGTAAAAAATAGGGAATTTCTTATATAAATTAAGCATTTTGTAGTGGTAACTGCAGGTGTATATGAAAACGAACAAAGGTTATAATGTTAGAATCAAAGCAAAATCTCAAAAAATAATTTTCAGTCTAGGTAAGTTGCGCAAAAATGTGAGTGGAGGCACAAACTAAAGCATGTAGAATTCTCTGGAAACCGTTGCCTGAGTTTTTGACCATTTGCCTGTCAGGAAGGTACCTACCTAAATTGTCCACTTAATCGATTTTGAATTGAAAATAATCTACTCTTCTCCTAGTTATTAGAGGCTGTATGAATACATTCATATTTTTCGTTCTTCCATTTTTTATCATTTTTTCTGACATTTTTTTTTTTTTTTGAGGTGTGGGATATTTTTAACCTGTTCTTTACAACCTTGAATCTAGCCAACTGGATATCGTAATTTTAGGACCTAAAAATGTTTTAACAAAAATTATTTTATTTCTATCTAATTTTAAAATGGGACTTTAGGATAACTCTGCTGCACAGGGCTCTTCTGATAGGTTTTTTCTTTTAACTGCAAACTAAAATATTACTTTGATTTCTATATTGAATTAAAAAAAAAATACCTTTGTGCAATTTATGTTTTGCGGATCAAAATAAACCATGAAAACGGCACTTGAAGCAGTGACGGTAAGTGTTTCGTTTGCCTTTAAAATGTCCTTGAGATTTTTCCTTAAAAGTAGCAGGTGCTTTAAAATTTTCTGGAACATTGCTGAAGGACAGCAAAATGGGGAATATTTCGGAAATATGCTGAAAGTTTTCAACAGTAATCAGAAGGCTTTATGACATGTAGTGAATCTTCTTACTCTATGTAGAGAGCAGCAGCTTGACCACAAATTTTAGTGATGATATATTAAGTCTTTTAGATGACGGATGGAACGTTAGCAATTTCATATAAAAAACATTATGTACCTTATGTTTCTACATCAGTACGTCTTTTATATTTAAGCTTTGCTTCTATCTTTTGCCATCTTATATGAGCTTCGTACACTCACTGAAGAAATAATGAATTCAGTTAGGTTTCAAATGATGCAGAAGATCATCATCGTAGAAAGAGCGGAAAGTTTGTTATATAAAATGTAATAATGTGCTTGAATTGCTTGATTATGCATGCTTTTAAAGGAGTGGGAAGAGTCAAGAATACATCAAAATGTTATGGAAGTTACAACTGATGATGGCAATAATAATGACAGTTTAGTAATAAGGGTAATGGATCAAGGTGGTTCATCAGAGAAAACTGATGATAAAAATTGTATCCGTGGAATAGTGACTACTCAAAAAAACAGTTCAACATCGTTGCTACCACCCACTTCAGCATCGTATATTCTTGCATCAACTTCGAAACATAATTTGTGCAGCGTAATCGTAAGTGCTAAATAATTACTAACTTGTGAAACAACTAAAAAATTTCAACTTTAAAAAGGTTTAATTTAAATTAGCTGTTTTTTTTTTTGTTACAACAAGAACTATTAAATTCATCATAATTTATCTTAGTTTTCACTTTAAATTGGAAAGTAACTTTATCTATAAAGCATACATTCAGAGTGCAGCGATGTCTCAACGAAATCAAGTCATATCTGCGAAATTTCCAATCCTTCCCGCCTCAGACATATCCCAAAAGAATTAGTATTTTTTTTTTAAAAAAAAAAAATATTTTTAAAAAATATCTGTTCTTTATTATTTTATCCTTTATTTTCCTTTGCATTTCTACTGGCTTTGCCAACTAGGATCTTACATTATCACATTGAGAACAACACCATAAAATTTGCGCTAGGAATGTGAGCATTAGATGTAATTCCAACTTAGTTTTGGAAACATTTATTTAAATTTGAGATATTATTCTTAACACTTTCCTATCGCATTTCAGTACAACTTTCGATGAGCCTAAAATAGATGCTATTAATAGTGGAACCGAAATAGAAATTAGTGAACATTTAAATGTTCTACCTTCGCTAACGGTATTAGTAATTTGATAACTTGTACGCATGATTTGTAAATTATTTCCATCATAATGCATTTTTTTCAGAATCAAATAAAAAATGCTTACTGGAAAATAAGTAAAACTAAAATTTTGGTTTTAATTTCAACACTAGTATGATATGCAGTGCTTGCTTTCATAAGTAACGATGCATTCACTACTGCGTGGAATAATAAACCTTTATGGATAAAGAATTAGAATTAAATAATAATTTTTCAAAATCAAAAATCATAACGTATGACGAAGAAGTCAGTGTTGTCGTTTTTCCTGCATGGAGAGGGATAATCTATTTCTTAAGATGTGAGCGAATAAAGCAAGCAAATCTATTTAAATACAAAAGGGAAATCTTGAAATTGCAGTTGAAAAGTCCAGAAAATCATGGAAACGACGTCATGTGGAATAATCAGCGCAAATTAATAATGGATCAAATCTGTAAAACTTTTGAAAATGCTGTTTCGTCGGATATTTTGGATGATAAAAATGAATCATCGTGCATATCGCCCATTCATCTGGTATGATTGCAATTCATTCATCCTTTTAATAGTTCGTTAGATCAATCAGTGTATGCTTAAAGTAAGATGATATTATTGAACGAAGCTTGGATTTAATCGGGTCATGGTCTTTTTCAGAATCCTGGTAAATTTACAAGGCTTTTGGAAACGCCGAAAAAGTAAGCTTCCTTTCTAGTAATAAGTCTATGTACTAAGCATTTATGCCTTTTAATTGCTTTTCATACTACACAACTACTCAGAAGGAATTTTTTTTTTTTGTTGACAAGATGCGTGCAAATATTTTTACCACATTGCTTGCAGCACTACATATCTGTTAACAATATGAAAAAACATTCCAAAACATTTCTAAATTGAAACACATTATTTTGTGGTACTCTATTTTATAGATTTAAATGGTTTGAAAAATTTGAACAAGATCAGGAGAATGCTTGGAACTGTAGCAGACAAACAGCGATCAGTCCATCTGATTCGAATTATAACAAGAATCTATATGCTATGTTTTCAGATGGGAATACTCAACAAGAAACATTAGTTGCAAAAAATATAGATGCGGTATCGTTATCAGAGCTATTAAAAAATTAATGCAATTTATAAAACTTGTGGGGAGGGTGCTTCAGGTAGTGTATGTAAAAAGTGCTCCTGAAGTGATTAAATTTTTTAATCTTTAGATATTTTTAATCATAAAGCTTTTCATACTTTTGAAAAGTGTGTCTTTAAGTCTTATTGTTTTCACATACTGCTAATATTTTACACCCTTAATCATTTAATAAATGACATTTGAAATTATAGTTGGAAAGGCCAGAAATATTAGACGATAGTGTACTGCAAGAATATCAACAGATAGTGATTACCAATCCTGAAGCTATATCGAATGACAAAGTTCTTGATGATCTGAACGTTAACGATATTTCTTGGTGCACATCATCCACCCTTTCGGTACGAACAAACTTTTCGAGTCATAAGTGCATGCAGTCCTTATTACGTAAAACGTGAAATTTGAGTAGTTACTAGTTTAGATGCTTTAAACTAGAATTCAGTCCCCTAAAAATTAATGATCTTACAATGTTTTGAAAGATATATGTGTAGAGGGAAGCAAAGTTTTCATAATCGATTCGAAACCATAATTGAGTAAACTGACTTGAAGCATTCATGTTTTCCCTTAACTTTTGTCGTGATTTATCATAACATTTCTCAGAACTAAGCAAGATTTCAGTGCTTCGGGAAATATATAATATTAACAAACATCTTAGGCAGCTTGCTTTCTATGAAAAAAGAATCTTATTTTGAATTCCATCAGTATTACAAATTAGGGCAGAAACACAGAAACAGTTTGATATGCTGTCGAAAGGCATAAATTCTATTTATGAGCGTTTCTAAAGTTGTAAATATTTATAACAAAACGATAATGTGCACAGCAAAAAATTTCACCAGGTCTTTGTAAATTTTGTTGATAGGTTTTGCGATGGTTAAATGAAGTTCGTTGTTAGAAATTTAAAGAGAGGTAAAAAAATTATCTGATGAAACATTATACCTAGTTTGTTAAATAAAGTAATTTAGGAATTCGTTTTAATGATCTAATAAGGCAGAAATTCTAATTTTTGTCTATTAGCAAAGTAACCAATTAGAAATTGAACACTGAATTTTTCAGGAAAACGGTAATGCACTGACTCCCGAAAAAATTGAAGAAAAACGAAATGAAAGGTAGAAATTTTACTAAATATGAATTTCCAGTTTAACCAGTTTTGAAATTATCCAAAATTATCCAGTTTTTTTTACTAAATTTCAGTTCCTTCGAAGTGCTTTTATCAAGCAATCTTGGCTCCTCAACTGTTCACAAAGTGAACATTCTTAATGAAACTGACCCAACATCATCTAGTATTCCACGGTACATATCAATTTTTAAATTATATTCAGATTTCAAATTTCAAAATTGTTCAAGAATCTAATTTATGTTTAATTCACTTACACCAAAATCTTTCAGTTTTTACTATCCCTGTGGTATCCCACATAGTGGAAAAGAAAGTCGCAAGAATCTGAACGCTGTAAAAGAATTATTTTATAAATATAATGATCGGGTACATTATTCACAATGAATTTATTGAGAAATTCGGAAAAGCGCCAGACGATTAAAAGGGTATTCCAATGGTTACAAACAATACATGAGCAAGGGTGAAAGGAATGTTTGTTGATAAGTATGCATAATGAATTTCACACAAAGTGCAAATTGTTTGGATTGGAAGTATTCGTTTTCAGTAATGGGATAGAAGACAAAATAATACAAAACATTTGCTCATTCCTTTCTTGCTTTAGGTTGATTTGTCACACATGAAGGAAGTTTGTTCAGCATCTGGACTGTGTGCACTCTGGAAACAACCACTTTATAATTGCATTTCTACTCCAGCTTCAAATTTTATTAATTTCAATAAATTTGCAAGTTGGTGGAAAAAGTATGTTTCCGGATGTTCCATTTGACTGTAAAATTAGTAGCAAATGTCACTCATCTTTTACTTCTAAACTAAAGCAAACATTGTTTTTACCTTTAAGAATTTGAAATCTTACCAAAATTTATTAAATTGGTCATTTTTTTTAGATTTGAAGCGAATACTCACGATGAGACATCGCGTTTTGTTTACATCTTGACGAGTGGAAAACGGAATTACCTTATTGCTGATGATTTTAAAGCTCTTGTTCAGGACTTGATTGAGACATTACCCTCGCTGAGTTTCTTGAAAGAAGCGGTCGCCTTCCATCAACCATATATAGAAACAGTTAAGAAAAATTTTTTGTTCACAACCTTTGACAGTTTAATTCTAAATCTTAAATATTTCAGGTGACAGCGCGTATTTTTTGGGCTGTATGTCACTCCTGGAAAAAATATATTTCGACAGTAGAATTGAGGTTATCAAATTTATTGAAGGTAAATTATTTGTCTGTGTCATATGCTAACAAATTTTACTCATGTAAGTGAAGTGCAAATGCAAGCCGAGTAGAATCATCTTGATTTCACAAAAAAAGGTATAGCTAAATTAAATGTTTTTTATTTTCATTACTTTGAAGTTTTTTCAAAAATGTTGCAGGCAATTAAATTGTTAGAAATAGCAGAGGTTAACGAAGAATGTGAAATTTTCAGTTACAAACACTTCTACGTTATTTACTGTAACTTTTATATGTTGGATAAAGGTGAAAAGAATTACTTGACACCGTCTGATCTTTCTTTTTATTCCAATAGTGGTAAGTTTTGTTATGACGAAAAAAAAGCTGAAATTTTGGGGAGCAATTTCTATCGGTCAAGTCATTTGTGTTGATTCACACATGAAGAATTCATGTCACGTATGATGTCGCGTTTGACTGTTAACCATTGATTGAATGATAGAGTGAACTGATTCTAGAAGCTAAACAGCTAATAATTTAAAATCTTCTTTGCATTAATTATGAAATGAAAAGTTTTTGAGCATTAACAAATTTGGTAGTGCAACGCATCTTTTCTGGAGCTGTATCGCTGAACAGTTCAATGAAACAAGCTATAGATTATATTGCATTCGTCAATTTCTTGTTGGCAGAAGTTGATAAATGTCATCCGAAAAGGTCAGCAAATATTAATTTTATGTCTGTCTGCATGCATTTCATAACTGCACAAAAATAGTCAATCTGAATTTGCTAAACCCTATTAATAAGCTTATCTCTGAGGTCAAAATCTGTTGAACTTAGCTTATCTTGAGATAATTTGAGTAATTATACTTCGAATGCAGTTATACGTGAGTCTACAGAAGCAGGATAATTGGAAGCAAAAATTTATCGTGGAAGATTTGATAATTTAATTTATTGTTTTGGGAGAGGTTGTTGATCGCAGGGAGAATCATTGGATGCAGATGTAAACATACGGGGTAACGTAGGAATATAATAATTCCTTTATTAAGCGAAGCAATAGTACAATAACTTGATAGAGAACAATTGAAATTGAACTCTCCTGGTTCTTGGGTTTTAATCAAATTATCCTGCATAAGTTGGCCATAAGAGGATTACCGGTTACTTGAAGAGCTAAAAAAGGAGTTACCCAATTTTCGCTAAAATAATTAATGATAGTAAGTTTCTGAAGTATTGATTCCAAAAAGAAAGAAGTCCAACAATCTTTATAATTTAAGCATTGAATATTGGTTCCGAATAATGGATTTAAATGGAGACGGTCGCATTTCGTTTGATGAAATGGAGCAATTTTATAATGAAATAGTGGCGAATGTTATCCGTATGGGTATGGACGTAATAACATTCAATAATTTAATAAATATGGTGAGTTTTTTTTTTTTTTTTAAATTAGTAATAATTAATAAAAAAAAGTGTCAAACATTTGAATCACTTTTGAAGTGCTACAATAACAGGCATCATATTATTTCCATTTTAATGATTCTCTTTCACTGTATGATGTGTTTGGATAGTATGATACGGGAATAACTGCTAACCATATTTCTTTAATTATTTAATTTATAAAATTTTTTAAGTTAAAAGATATGATACCATCACATTCATCAACATATTTCACATTATCCGATCTCAAGCGATTTCCTCCAATGGCACGTTATTTCTTCAACACTTTTATCAATTGGGTAAAGCATATTGCCCAAGAAAGTTGCCCACTTGATAACAGAAACGTATGTTATTTCAAATTAGTGAAGAGTTCATTTTGAAAACGCAAGCATAATAACGTTTACAAACTGTTTCTTAATTTTTTCAAATTTCTTCATTTTCCGCATGCCAAATATGATTTCGAAATCCAATTTTTGGGATTATTTGAATTGCAACATTTAAATTGGTTTACATTTCAATTGTCCCCAGATATACACAAAATATTATTCGGTACTTTTAGAGATTCATACAAGGAATGGATCCACAATTCAGCGATTGGAATCGTTTTTGTAAAATGGAATACAAAATATTAGTAGCAGATTTATTGGATAGTGAGGAGCAAACAACGGTTGGCAGAACTTTGAATAGTTTGAATGTAGTAATGAAGGGAATAGATCATTCCGTTCATGAGTTATTCATGATTATCCAGAAAATAAATATTTTTAATAGGACCAAGTTGTTAAATTGAATTCATAGAATTATTTTATATTTAATCATAATCTGACAGGATTTTTTCTTTTCAGTGGTAAGAATCAATGATTAAGATGGACGACTGATTCATATATGAAGAAATTTTAAGTCTTTGCTAAAGCATATATGTTATAGATACACTCAAAGAATATTATTGAAATTTGAAATTGTAATTTTATGTTATGTTACCGTTTTTTCTAATAAATTTCAGGTTTCAAACTTGAATAAACATGAAGAAATTAGTAGTTCAGGTATGGTAATTTAGACACTAAACCCAGTTACTCTTTATTTTTTTAAGATTCAATTTAATGATTGCATTATTTTTTGTTGGGGGGGAGGGAAGGAGGGAGGGGGAAGGGGAGGTATATAAGGAGTTTGAAGTAAACAATGACATGATTTGCCTATCTGTGCTATTTAACGATCTATGTAATTCATTAAGCTGTAAAAGGATTCATGTATGATTTAAAATAAGATATTCTAATCGATAACAAGTGCGTTGTATTGTTTAAAGTTTCCTTGAAATGTTCTTATAAGACGCTTTTCTTATAAGATATTTTACTGTACTAATTGAATTTTATGGACGTGAAATTTCTTGATAATTGAATTATTTGAAAAGAATAGCTTAGCCGATGAATATAATGTTTGTTCTTCAATTCGATGATATTCCAGAAAAAATCCCAAATCAACTGTAAAATTAAACCACCAAGCAAAGGACAGTTTCAATTGATATTATAAGCTTCAAGGACCATCGGTATTATCGCTTATATAATTTATAATGGGGAGGGTTCATGGGAATCCCGAAATATTCTGGCTTATTATTCATTGGCACTCTATAGCACATTTAATAAATACAATAAATACATTCAAGGTGATAAAAACAAACTAGGGAAATATTTTAGGTTCAATTATAGAGAAAGTGCGCTTTGACGAAGTAATGAATTGAAAATTCAATGAAATCTGTGAATAATGGAAGCTATGCATAGGTTCAAGTTCATCCAAGACAGAATGTAGTAGCATGTGGAAGAAACCCTTGAGATAAGTTTATTATTATTGAGAGATGAACAAATTAAAGGATAAAAGTGAGACGGTGATTCTGATACATTCGTAGATGATCTACGTTTCAATTATATGAATGACTGCATTTTGCATAAATTTGTTTTGGATAAATTTGAATAATCTGGAAGAATAATTTTTATTGCCTTTAGAAAACAAAAACCATTTGAAAAACAGTCATTTGCAGAAGAGTGGTGCAGAATGGCAGGTACGTGTCGTTTTGGAATGTGATTCTTAAGGAATGAGAAATTATTAATAACCATCTGTCAATTTTTCCATGATTGATTGTTTTAATTTATTTTACTTTGCACTTTGCGGGTTTTTCTTCAGTGTGCGACATTGTGTTCATTTATTTCGGCTATTCTTTATTTTCAATCTAAGATTTAACAGTAAAGTTCATTGCTTGCACAGATCTTCATGTTTCTCTAAGTATACAAGTTAATTAGACAACGAAATATTTATTAATGAAGAAGGCATGGAGCTAATATACAATGAACCATCAGCATGCTTTTCTTGAAATATTTATTGTTTCTTAATTAACATTATTGATCAACCAAAAATTGGTAACTCTAAAAAAAAAAAATATTGTGAGATGAGACTTTCTTTTTTTGAAGCTATGTTGAAGTGTGATATAATTCTGAAATTGCTAGTAAACATTCCATAAAGCAGACAAGGTGCGAAAATGAAAAACATAAAAATTTTTTAGTTGGAAGAGGATAGTTTCGTTCGTTACTTCAATGAAACAATGCAAAATGTTACTTGCAGAGGTTTTCATGTTTTTTCACTCACTAACTTAAGTGTGCAAGTTAGTTATTTGCTTGTCCTTATTTTTTTCAGCTAGCAAACCACTCATTGATGAATCACATAGTGCACCGCCGGCATGTTTTTAATGAAATATTGTTTCTTAATCAACATTATCAATCAAATGGCCAAGAATCATCAATTCTAAAAATAAAAAAAAATTTTTCCTCCAGCAGTTGTAAGTTCTAGTCGATGTTTATAGAGAGTTCAAATTTGAAACCATATTGAAGTGTGATATGATTCTAAAATTGCTTGTAAATATTCCACAAAGCAGAAAAGGCTCGAAAATGAAATATATGAAAATTTTTTAGTTGGAGGATAATGATCTTCGTTACTTCAGTGGTGCAACAATAACATTACCGGCAAATTATCAAATGAATGATAATAGTAGCATCGCATCTGTAAGCCTTTTGCACTAATTATTTTCATCTTTCTGGAAGCAGGCAATTTGAACTATTTGAGCTGTGAAGAAGTGTATTGTTTTCGAAATTATTAATGCGTGAATTTAAGATGAGCAATTAAAATTGATAGCTTATATTATTGACTAACTGTATTTGAATCTCAACCACTTGACCGAGAATCTACAACTGAAAATAAATAATGCTAGATAGTGGATCTGTAGTGATTATCCTTGTCATATTGACATACGTGTTTTATTTTGGTAAATTTTTATGAAGAGTCATACTTTTGGGAAGTTTTTTTTTTCTTTTTTCTTTTTTAAGAACCAGATAAAACTGAATGAAGTTCCAAATCTATGATGTTACGACATTTCTAGAAATTACAGGAAGATATGACTAATTCTTCTCCTATGGATATTTCTGTGGACGAGAACTCATCTCACCATTCAAGTTCATCAATGTGCTGTTTCACAATTCCAGAAGATATGTCTTTCTTTTGTCATTTATAAAAATACATGGATTTTTTTTAAGTGCCAATTAAAAGTGTTGTCATATCGTATAAGAAGCAAAACTTGTTTCGATATTATTATAAAATTAGCATTTCAGCTTCTGACTATCTTCTACACACAAGTTTAAATACAACTGATGTATACGAACATCAGATGACCGCATCGGGTAAGCGGAATTTGAATAAATCATATAATGATTGACTTTTGATAATCCTGATTTATAGGGAAATCAGTTGCACTGAATTTTTCAGGATCTATGATTTATGGCGATACTAACTCAGAGCTGGATTCGATGTCATTTGGTGAGAATTTTTCACTCAATAATATTTCATTTATCACGCACAGTAAAGGTAAATAAAACAACATAAGAACCTTCACTTGACTGATCTAAAATGTCATACAAAATTTCATCATTCAATACAGTCAGTATTTTTAATAGAAGTACAAAGATTATGCGTGTCGAAAGGAATTAATCCAGGATGGATGCAATTTTGAAATTAATTAATGCGAAAAGAAAATTTACGAATCAAATAAAATTATATGTCACTGCTTCAAATGCAGCAATTTTTAATATCTATTAAAAATTACAAAAGAAGAAAATGCTTCAAACTTCTCCGTAGAGTTGTATGGAGAAAACTAATCCCAGCCTGAATGGTATATTTTTATCATAAAAAAGGTTTAAAGGTTTCAATTAACAGCAAATTCTTTCAACCTTTCAATTAACAAGACAGCAAATTCTTTCAATGTTTTCGTTAGAGTTCAATGTCGATAGCTACCAGAAAATAGTTCGTATTTCCACACTTCGTATCTAATAATCATTCAATCCCTTTTACAGAGAACAGTTTCTCAAGCAGTTATTTCAAGAACAACGAAGAAATAAATTGATCAATTCATACTACGTTACACTATCAATTTACTGCCAAGACATAAAAGAAAATAATAATAGTAATAAAATACTAATCCCTTGCATTTTCTCAAACACTTGGAAAGATTTTAGAAGCCAAACTCTCAGCCTATGAAAATTAAACATTGACAGCCTAGCTATCAGAGTATTAAATAAAACTTTTATAATGAGACCGCTCATCACATACTTGTAGATAATACATTCCTACACTACATAACACATTGTTATTCTACAATTTCCTAGAATGTCTCGACAACCGTTGGTTAATTTCGTGAAGCGATTGACGATACATCTGTTCTTATGAAAAGAGTTAAGACAACTCTCGATGAATAATTTTAGCAGACTTAACTGATTATTAATTTCAAATATAAAGCCGGTGATAGTAACTCCAACATTTGCTCATAAATCCAATTCATTTGATGGGTGAATGTCCTTAGTTTTGTTTCACATTTCAGTCTATTGCAATGTACAATTTGAGCACTAGAAAGTGTTTTGCACCGCAATAGATTTCATTTTATTGTCAGAAGAAAAATACCGTTTCTTTGCAGTTTGACGTTTAGCATTGTGAGTATAACCATATCAATGAATCACAGAATTTTATCGTATGAGTAGGAAAGCTATGACAGGAATAATATGTCCATTATTACCTGTATGCCGACACTGATAACATCTCTGCCCAACGGGAATGCTTCAGAGTGCCATCTCACCATTTACCTAAATTAGTTAGATAACAAACACCTGTTTTCTTCCTTCTTCTGAGCTGTTAATGAACTCTAAAAACTAAAATGAAAGCACTATTACTTTTAAATGTCCTATTTAAAAATTGTGTTTTCACTTAGAACAGCAATATTAAATTCTAAAAGGTATTCATCTCTGATAAGCTTACAAATGAATGTATCCACCAGAATAGTTTCATGACTAATTATGCAAAGCCGCAAAACGTAATCACCTGTATGTATCAGGAAACCTAGCTATAAATTAAAGACTGTGTTATAGATAAATATAAAACTTTTTTGCAGTTGTAGTTAAGCTTATGTAAACTGTCTAGAATGTTACCTTCTGTTAACAAAGAATATGTGCATTGCTTAATATGTTACTGTTAAGATCCGCCAGTGTAACAAGCAAAGTTGCATTCGACTCTTCAAGAGATTGCAAGTTCTTTGTTCAATGAACTACCTGTAATACCTGTAAAACCAGTCTACCTGCAATTTCGATGATAGCTCTTTACTCGCTAACCTGTGTTCTGTTGTAAGCCAACGCCAGTTATGTAAGAAATTAAAACCATTTTTGGATGTTGCAAGTTTCGATTAGGTTGGTGTCATCGATCGCTCAC